CATTCACTCAGTATCACAAAGACAGTGCCAAGGGCGATGGTACCATGGTCCGATCATCTACCAGGCCCCACACCATTGGGGATTATGATTAGCTATGAGATTTGGGTGGGTACACAGATTTAAACCATATTCAATACCAAATAATCATTGGTCTGATTAAAGTAAGTGGCTGCTACGGAATTTGGGTGAAGATACAATCGTGCATTTTCTATTGATGCTTAATTGAGGTTTGAAGTGATGATGGACACCAGCAAGGCTGCTTCGCTGGCCCTTCCCCACCTCCTGCACTAGCTAGAGGTACCTCCCTGGCTCCGCATGCAACATGTGATGAGCCCTGGCCTTGCCTGGCATGTAGTTACAAAGCTTCTCATGTGATTGACTCACTTGCAAGCTTGCAGAGCCTTCGGTGTCATCTAGACCATTCCGTAAAGCTTTTGACTCCAGCGCCAGGCTGCATCTCCAACCCCTCTCTACTTGCCTCATTATTCTGTGACTGTCGTCTGACCCTTCCAGTCTCAGACACTAATTTCTGTTCTGTTTCATGTCTTTTACACCTTCCCTCTCGGTTTCCAACCTTGCCCCATCCAGTTATTCATGCTGGCATGGTCCCTGCCGCTTTCTTCGGCACTGTCGTTGCTATACAGTGAATCTCTTATTTCCAGCTTGGCATTCTCACCCCTTGTCACTTTACCCTCCACAGCACTGACTTTGGTAGCAAGTACAAATTGCAGCGATCTCAGTAACCTTTCGGTTATGATACCATCAATCTTGCAAGTGCCTGGCATTGTTCAATGAAGTCTATAGGGAATTACAGAAATAAAGTCATGGATAAGGAAAATTAGGGTGTGCTAGTGGAAGCAATATCCAGTTATCAGTAGGTGCTGAAATAGCATTAGCTTTTATGTATATTTATTTAGCATCTCCAATACTCAGGCTACCATAAAGAACGTTCTGTCCCATGAGGACTTTGTAGAAGCAGTGAAAATGGATATAAATGAGAGGGGCAACGAGTCACTCATCTATTGATTGAATAATTATTTATGAGTACTGATTATATTTTGAGGCTGAAGATTACAGAGAGGAAATGTTTTCATGCCAGGCTTCATGGAGCTTATAATCAGTTGGGAGCAGTATCAAGAAACAATAATAATGCTGGAAGCTCTTTGCATCTGGAAACACCGTAAGCACTGGAAAAAGCACTCACATGACCTTGTTACAATAAGAAATCCCAGAGATTGGGCAACAGATTCCTCAGAACAGGACTCTGAGATGGTTATGGTGGGCTGGAGCAGAAGCATCCATTTGTACCCCACTCACTGAGAGCCTTTAAGCCCACATCTCATTGAGCGTGTTTACTTATAATTCCATCCATGTACTACTGTATTTATATACTGTGTACATTATAGAGTATAAGCAAAATCAATATTAAAAGGATAACATTTTAAAAATAAATAAAAACAGAAGTGCCAACATCACCTGCCTGAGCCCCACTGATCACCCTCGGCACCTCCAGAGCACACACCCCCTACTTTAATACTGTCAGTCTAATCCAGAGTGGAGTCCTCACTGTTGCTGCTGAAGAATCTGGATTTAATAAACTCATCCAGAGATTTGAGATAACTCACAATTGACAACTCTGAAGGCCTCATGTGATAGTCCAGATGTTTCTAGAATAGTGGGAAAAACCATTTGTACCAGGCATGACTTCCCTGTGAATGAGTCTATTCAAGAGATCAAATTAGATTGAAGTTGCTTAGTGAGCATGGAATTAGAATAAATGGAATTGTGGTCTATAGAGATGTTTCATCACACTTGAATACCTGATGAAACTACCTTTCTCCTCTCTGCGGATATTTCTGTCTGAATAACCAGTGCCGGACCTCAAATAAATACTGACATGTTTTACTTTTAGCTTTTCTTTTTCTAGAATCATTTTAGACAACTGCCCTTCTGTTAATACATCACCACCTCAGAAAATAAGAAGGTCCTTGATTGGATTGAAATTTTAAAATGTTAATTGCATTCATGTCCTGGGGATACAGCCTCAAGAGATAGAATTGCTTTGCTTAAGGCTGAAGTCTGGCTGGGGACTTTGATCTCTGCAGGCTCTGGGGTCCTTAAAGGGCTCTCACCCAATTAGGATGAGCTGAATCCTTCTGGCCCTGGGCCTCATCTTCATTCCCTCCCAGCTTCAGAACTCTCTGATGAGCAAAAGGGTTGATTTAGGCTTTCTCACAGAGGTGCGCCTGAATGCCTCTTGCTGTGTAGTAAGCCAGATGTTGAGCGGGGAGGAAGGCTCACCCTGGATAAATAGCAACTTCAACTTCGTGAAGCACCTTTCTGTTCCTGTAACCAGTAGCCTATACTATATCATACAATATTCTCTTTGCCAAGAAGAAAGTAGCCTATTTGCCTATTTTCTCCTACTGAAATCTATGATTTTATGATTTTGTTTTTAAATAGAGACCAGGTATGGTGGCTCATACCTGTAATCCCAGCACTTTGGGAGGCCAAGGCAGGTGGATCACCTGAGGTCAGGAGTTTGAGACCAGCCTGACCAATATGGTGAAACCCCATCTCTACTAAAAATATAAAAATTAGCCAGGCATAGTGGCATGCACCTGTAATACCAACTACTCAGGAGGCTGAGGCAGGAGAATTGCCTGAACCTGGGAGGCGGAGGTGACAGTGAGCCCAGATTGTGCCACTGCATCCAGCCTGGGCGACAGAGAAAGACTCTGTCTCAAAACTAAAAATTAAAAAAAAAAAAAAAAAAGCTTAAGACTACACTAAGAACAGGAACACATTAAGAACAGTACATTTTCCCAGCAGTCCCACCACCACTGTTTTTACCTTAATTAAGATATTTACACACATATTTTACACCAGTTTACTGGTTACGTATTGCCTGTTACAGTAATTAATAGGGAGGCCATTGGCTGAGACAGCTTTAGAGACCTGGAACCTAGGGAGGCCAGCCAAAACCCTCTTCAATGTAAGTATTGAAACAAAACTAAGCTTCTCAGCAATCAGAAACCACCATTCAACCTCTAACTAAAGACTTTCCACATTAACCAATCAAATAGTTTCTTTTTCTTGCGTCCATCAACACATTTCTCTCTCTCCAACCCCGCACCCCAGAAGACGACTTATATTTTGGTGCTACCTAATTCATGCATCACTGACTGTCTAAATAAACATGTTCAGATTTTTTGGGAGGCTAAGGCGGGTGGATCACGAGGTCAAGAGATCAAGCTCATCCTGGTCAACAAGGTGAAAACCTGTCTCTACTAAAAATACAAAAATTAGCTGGGCATGGTGGTGCACACCTGTAGTCCCAGCTACTCAGGAGGCTGAGGCAGGAGAATTGCTTGAACCCAGAAGGCAGAGGCTGCGGTGAGCCGAGATTGTGCCATTGCACTCCAGTCTGGGTAACAACCGCGAAACTCTGTCTCCAAAAAAAAAAAAAAAAAAAGATTTTAATATGCCTATGTTTATCTTTTAACAGGCCTGCGAACTTATCTAAATGTTGCTATATTGTAGCTGTTTCTAAAAACAAAAACAAACAGCATTAATTAATATTTCATAATTTAAAACTATGACTTAAGCATGGCAGAACCAACACAAAGTAACTTTTACTTAAAAATAGTAGCTCAGTTTAATATTGTAAATGTGTATAATTTGCATAAAAGAAAGGAAAATGTCATTCGTGTATGAATAGAAACTAATAGAGTGCACTTCGTTGATTCACTGTGCCTTTTGGAAAAAAGATAGCAAATATCATGTTTTTTAAAAAGCATGCATTTGGGGTTTAGTATTAGAGCTAAAGCCTTCAGTAACTGCTTTAAATCACACCCATCTATTTTAGTCTTTAGCTTTGATAGTAAATGTACTCAGAAATGTGCACATTAAAGAGTCATTTCTTCCCTGAAGATGAAGTTGGGAGCCAACTTTTGATCCCATATGAAATTCGTGGTCCATCTGTCCTAATGGAACCTGAGTAATGCAGTTTGGTGTTTTTATTTCATCCTCTGAGCTGCTTTTCTCCTGGAAACACTGGCTACTCTGTCCGGCAGTGAGTGGGCAGAGGCAGCTGGTACAATCACATCTTCTCCAAGAGCTCAAGGGTAGAGGCTGGTTGAGATACATTTCACGGGCTCACTGCCTGACCCCCACACCACGCAACAACCCCACAGGTCAGAGCCTCACCCGCAGTCCCCAGGAGGAAGCAGTAAGGGAAGAGAAGGTAAACTCACCTCTGAAAGTTTGGAGCAGGAGAGGTAAGGAAACTGCCCTAGCCTGGCCTGATCACTTCTCATCCCCAGCTCCTCACCTCCTCCAAGCTCCTTTAGTTGTATTCCTGAAGCACCTGTTCCAGGTGTCTGGGTGGCCATTAACGCAGGAGTGGGTGCTGGTTCTTTCAAGACAGAGGTGGATGAAAAGCAAGAGCAGAATACCAAAAGCTTCATTCTGGTATTGTTTTCCTGAGGTCTGTCTTAGATGCTGCCTGCGCCATACCAAAGCCACCAGTACTTACTAATGCAGGAGTTCAAAACAGCCCCCACCAACCCACACAGCAACCCCAGGGGCTTCTCCCAATTCTTATATCTATCGGCATTTACTTCTTAGAGTCCCTGAGGGCTCTTTGGTAGGAACTCCGACTATATCAATCTTTATTGTTATGTATTTATGTAAATAAAATATTGTTTATTGTAAATATGCAATTTATATAAATTCTATAGCAACATTTAATTTTATATAGATTATATATATTAATACTTTAAATATTTTTATACATAAATGACCATTATGTAGACACACATATAACTTTTGAAAAGTCAGAAATATATTTATGGGGATTTGGTCCAATGTTGTTAAACATTGGAGGAAATAACTACTATTGCTAATGATGCTTATTAAACTCAAGAAATGGGTCTCCGTCACATGACTCGGCTGATCAGGGTGTGAGTCAACCTGATGTTTTTGTTCTCTTCCCACAGGGAATTACTGGAATGCCGCCTCTTTCCCAAACCCATCCTCCTACCTGCACTTCTCTACTTTCCAAGGGGAAACAAGCGCTGACATTTCTTTCTACTTCAAAACATTAACCCCCTGGGGAGTGTTTCTTGAAAATATGGGAAAGGAAGATTTCATCAAGCTGGAGCTGAAGTGTGAGTATAAGTTCCTTGTCAACTCATGGGGGGACACTTTGGCCACCTCAGGGTGGTCCGGGCCCTGCTCTTGGAAGTCCTTTTGACTCAAACATGGAAGATCTCCTTTGTTCCAGGAGCAGGACTAGAGGGGGACACACAAGCCTGAGTTTCAGCTCCAACCTCAGTCCCTGTCCTTGGATTGCTCTCAGGGAAGCAGGCACATCCAGATTCCCAAGCAGTTATTCAAGAAGATGAGAGGTGCCCTCAGAATGAGGGAGAGGAATGTTGATTTGAGGCTTCATGTTTGACGTAGCTGTTTTCCAAAGAGATGGGGTCAAAAGTAGATGAGAAGTGTGTGCACTGACCTGAGGGGCGGAGAGTGAGGGAAATCGTGACAAGAAAGACAGGACTGATGAATAGTGACACCCGCATGAGCTCAGGAGGCCGCGGAGACCATAGGACTAGGCAATTCCATGACACAGCCTGTAGGTTTCCTAAAGAGGATCCTCACCTGCACACGCTCTAAAAGTGAGTTATGGATGTAATGTAGTTAGCCAAAGTTGCAGAGATGAAAAGAGGCAGAGCAAGAGAGGACGCTGCTTAGCTCAGCACAGCCAGGCCTGGAGCAAACACCCTAAGGGGGCATCCAGGCTTGGGGAGCTCCGTCGGTGAAAGATGGGGGTTCCCTGCACAAGACTTGAGAAGTACAGTGCTTGCCCTACCTAGACCCTTTAATCATCAAGATCCCAATTCAGCTGTAGGAAGTTTCAGTCCCCTGATTTCCGAGCTAGTTGATTATTAACTCCATTGGCTGTGAGAGTCAGGGAGACCACAGACCAACCCTGCCCCTTTGCAAAATCTCAGCCTTACGCTCAAAATATCTCCCTTCCCCGAGTCTGTCCCCTTTAACTGGGTGCTTCTGTTCCTGGATCTGGTCTGAGAATTATCCCCAAATCCATTTCCCATTTCTGCTGAAATTCTATCGGATTCACAGTAGCATTCTCAGGTTCAATTCCAATCCATCAGGTAAATTGCTTAATCTCTTTGAATCCTAATTTTCTGATTTATAACAAGAAAATGTTCATTTGTGGAGTTGTGATGAGAATAGAATTTCGATATTCATAAAGCATTTATTTCAGTGTCGAGTAATTATTGTAATTATCATCTTCTGAGGATGCTCAATGCAGATCTGATCTGAGCCAGGTCTGATTGAAAGGGAGACTGAGGCTATCCTGGTCCTAGAATTAAAATTAATGATTTAATTAAAATCCTCCCTTTACTGAATTATGGATAAGAATAATTAGAAAGTAATTCTCGCTTCCCTTAGTTAAAATTAACTAACTGAATCAAACTATGTTCTGATTTCTGCATAAGTTCGATCAAATTTTAGAAAGATTTTATGGCCACAAAAGAAAACTGCCAGTTCTATATTTGAGTGGTTCTGTAAGTTTCTATAAAAGTGCTTGTATTCCCCCCATTTCATTTTATGTCCTCATGTTTTGTAAAGCCACGCCTGGGTGGGAAGAAACACAAACCCAATAGAGGGAGAGCAGGTGTTACCACTCAGCCCTCAGTGTCGAAGAATTTCTTTTTTTTCTTTTTTCTTTTTCTTTCTTTCATTCTTTTTTTTTTTTTTTTTTTTTTGAGATAGAGTATCACTCTGTCACCCAGGCTGGAGTGCAGTAGTGCAATAATCACTCACTGCAGCCTCCACTTCCCAGGCTTGGTTCATCCTCCCACTCAACCGGGACTACAGGTGCATCGCACCACACTTGGCTAATTTTTGTGATTTTTGCAGACATGCAGTCTTGCCGTGTCAGCCAGGCTGATCTCAAACCCCTGGGCTCAGGCAATGCGCCCACCCTGACCTCCCAAAGTGCCGGGATTACAGGTGTGAGCCACTGTGCCTGACCACTAATTTCTAATTATGAAAAATCTTTAGAGCTGTCTTCAGAGTTTTCTAGGTCTTTCCACAATATAAAAACCAGGTGGCACAGGGTGAATTACAGCCTCCTTTGTCATATACCTTACTTTCATCATATCCTTTACTCTGGACAAAAATGTGAAACGTTGAAGACACAGATTGAAGCCTGTGATCTTTCCTCAGAGCCCCCTGTACCTACTAATAACCGATGAGTGTGGAAGGACCTTTTTAAGATCCCCAATATGGCACGTATTCGATGCCCATCATTATATGGCTTCTGCATCAGGGTTCAAAGGAGCCTCATGGAGAGGGAGGCAGACTTCTGTATTTAAGAAAAACTACAAAATGAACAAGAAGTGGTGCTTTCATGAAGAACACGAAGGAAAAAACGGCCATGATGGAGGCTTGTTACCATCTCACTGATCACCTTTTCAGCCAGACCCTCCGCCGTCAGGATTCCTAGGGCACTGGGTAGAGGATTCTCTCAGGCTCCTTTCCCTGTGCTGAGGAATCACTCTGCAGACCTAATTGTTTTCACAGCAGTGGCAGCTACCAGAGGGGCCTCAGGAAATGTTGATTCGGAAGTTAAACTCTTTAGAACTGTCTCTGTGTTTTTCCTTTTAGCTTGTTAGACCTTCTGATCTCTTTCTGATAAGAATTCACATTTTGTTTCTCTGAGTGTGTCTCAAAGGAATTTTGTCACAGTTCATGACTACATATTGCTTTCCAGAATAACACTTCTGTTAATTAATTACATTGTGCCCTTCTGTCAAGAGTGGAAGATTCTTGACTCACAAATCAGTAAGGCAGTGTACTATAAGTTAATGAGATACCGTCTGCATCTTATGCAAAAGTAGAAAAACACAGAGATTAAACTAGGGCAATCTCACTCATTAGCATGCTCTGATGGTAACATTTTAACCCTACACTTCCTGTATTTACTATTTGTATTTACTTTTTCTTTCAATGATGAGCCGGTTTATATTTACTGAGTATCTACTATGTCCCAGGTCCAGTGCTAGTGCTGAGGGAATTTAGTCAAATCGAGTGTGATTTCTTTCCCTCAAAGATCTTTCTGTTTGTTTTAGAAAGCAGGCGAGTAATTCAGGAGTTATGATAATAACAAAAATAGCTCAGCTTCATTCAGACTTTCAGGCTTCATTCCAGGCATTTTATATGAATCACCTCACGCTCCTAACCACCCTCTGAAGTGCATACTACCATTCACAGCTCCATGTTACAAATGAGGAAACTGAGGCACAGGATGACTAAGTTGCCTGGCCAAAACTATGCAGTGAGGAAGTGGCAGAGCTGGTGTTTGATCCCAAACATTTTATGTCTGCCCCACAGTCATTGCTGTTACCCCAAAAGCACACTGCCTCCCAGAACAGACGTCAAGAAAGTGGCCGGGAGCACCAAGGGGAATATTTAAACTCCACTAGCAGGACAAGGAGTGCTTCCCGGGGGTGGAATGCTTTAATTAAATTTTGATGGATATGTAGAAGTCAGTAAGGTGAAGAAGGCTGGGGAAGAACAGGAGCCCAGGGAAAAAAAGAAGTTTCAGGATAACACCAAATGAACGAAGGTGTCGGGGCCTGAACCTGAGGACCCAGGAGGGAACAGGTGCAGTGAGGAGGGCCTGGGCTAGCAATAGCCAGGCGGGCAGGGATGAGCACACAGTGTACTCTGCCTGGAGGAGCAGCTGGCTTGACCCTGTAGGCTATGGAGAGCCAGGGCGTAACTTGATCAGGTTCTCATTCACCAGAGAAAAGACTGGAAGCCAGACAAGCGGCCAAGGGAGCCTGTGTTAAGACAGAGGCAGAATGCATAGAAGGAGACGAAGACAGGGATGAAGCATTGTAGATATGAACGATCCTTAAGAGATGGATTCCGCAGACTTTTAACAAATACTCATGAGGGTTAAGTGGAAGGGAAGATCCTAGAATGAAGCGATGTTTCATTTTGATGTGTGAGTGGAGCACCTTTCATGAAGGAGTTAGACATTCAAGAGCAAAATACAAATTGCATTCTGGGTATTTTGATACTGAGTCTCTGAAGGCCGTAGGAGGATCTAATCAAGTGGATACACCTAGAGGATGCTGAATGGTCAAGTCTGGAACCCAACAGAGGTCTCAGAAACTCAGCTTGGGGGTCATCATCACTTAGAGGATCAGCATTCAGTGCCTTCAGCATGGATGAGATTGCCCAAAACAAACGTGTACATAGTGGAAACAAGATGTGCAAGAAAGGCAACCAGCTGGGCACAGTGGCTCACACCTGTCATCCCAGCACGTTGGGAGGCTGAGGCAGGAGGATCACTTGAGTCCAAAAGTTCAAGACCAGCCTGGGCAACATGGTGAAACCCCATCTCTACAAAAATAAAATTAAAAAATTTGCCAGGCATGATGGCCTGCACCTATAGTCCCAGCTACTCAGGAGGCTGAGGCAGGAGAATCCCTTGAGCCCAAGAATTTGAGGTAGCAGTGAGCTATGATCATACTACTGCACCCCCAGCTGAGTAACAGGGTGAGACCCCATAGAAAGAGAAAGAAAGAAAAGGAAGGAAGGGAGGGAGGGAGGGAGGGAGGGAACGAACCACATTCTTGTAGGAAACTAACAGAAGTAGCAAGACAGTGGTATCCCAGAAACCAAATGAAACCGACATTTCAAGAAGAAAAGGAGAGTGTTAGATATTATTGAGAGGTCACTAAAACAAGGGCATAAAGTGACCATCAGATTTAATATGTAATGGTCACTGTTGAAAAGTCAGGTATCACAAGGGTGAGTGGAAGTGGATTTGGAGATCAAGGGAGGCTGGTTTGCTTGTTCTTGTTTGAGGATGGTAGAGACTTGAGCATACACATAGATGAAGGAGAAAAATATGGTCGAGAAGGGGGGTTGGAGATACGAGAGATAAAGGGACTGGCAGAAGGAACAAGGTCCCACGGTTGTGGGTGTGAGGTAGACCCACCATCACAGCACCTTACAGGGGTGAGGGGAAGAGGTGGAAGTAAGCCACGCACTAGGAAGTGCCTTTCCAAATCAGAATTTCTTGTTGTTGTGTTTGTTTGCTTGTTAGTATTTTTGAGATGGC